AGTCACAATCTTTCTTTGAACCTCCCAAGGGGGGACTTGCATATTATCCATCCCATAAATAGGTTTGTTTCTTACTCACATTTATCCATTGCCTATTGTTTCTTTGTTTCTGCACTTTTGTTTGGTATTCTGTCTCCAACTTTTACAGGTATTTTGAAGCTATAGTTGAACCTAAATGGAAGGAAGCAATGGATGAGTAAATGAGAGCTCTATTGAAAGAGCATAGTTGGCTGCAAATGGGTGTATACAATGAAATGCTACAAAGTAAATGATTCTGTATGTAGAAAGATACAAAGCTAAGTTGGTTGCAAAGGGGTTCACATAGGAGGGAATAAATTACAAGGAGACCTTTTCCCCGGTTGACAAGTTGAAAGCTATACGTGTATTATTGTCTCTAACAACAAATTACTCTTGGGAACTACATCAACCAAGTGTCAAGAATGCCTTCTTGAACCGGAATCTGCAAGAAGTCTACATGGTTCCTCCATGTTATGACACAATAGGGAAAGTGTGTAAACTAAAAAGAGCTTTGTATGGTCTCAGGCATTCTCTTAGGGCCTGGTTTGAGAGATAACCACATTTTTAAAGTAGGATGGGGGAAGGGTAACCACATAATTATGTATATTGATGATATGGTGGTCACTAGGAACGGTCCAAAGGAGATTCAAGAGTTGATTTTGGCTTCAGAATTTGATATTAAAAGTTTGGGATCTCTAAGATATTTCTTAGGAATTAAGGTAGTGAGGTCTGGTGAAGAGATTTACATCTATCAAAGGAAGTAGACTTGTAGAGACTCCTATTGAGCAGAATCATGGATTGCAAGAGTTATGAGAATCTATATTCAGACAAAGAAAGGTACCAAAGGCTGGTGAGGAAACTTCTTGACTTGTCTCTCATTAGGCCTGACATTGCATACACAATCCACATTGTAAGCCAATTCATGCATGTTCCTCATGTTTCTCACATGAAGGCTGTTGAGATTTGAGAGAGTTTTCTGATATTTGAAGGCATGCCTGGGGAAAGGTTTGTTATTTAAGAAGCATAACAAAGCTTGAAGTTGAGTCATATATTGATGTTGACTGGGAAGGTTCTGCAACTTCTACTAGCAATGGATGGTCTACTACTAGATATTATAGTTTTGTAGGTGAAAATCTGGTTACTCGGAGATGCAAATGACAGACATTTTGTGTGAGAGAAGATACTTATTGGAGATCTTTGTATTCCCTACATGCCATCTGCAAGACAGCTAGTTGATTACTTTACTAAGGGCCTTACTAGAGCAAGATTTGCTGAATAACTGTGCAAGTTGAGCATAAATATAAGTTGTTGGACATAAGTTGTAATTAGGTGTGGAATCGAGCAGAGCCGAGCTGAATACCTGGCTATTCGAGCTCAGCTCGCCAAAACAATGTTAGGCTCAAGTTCAAGCTCAAGCTTGAGCTTGACTCAAGCTAGAGACTTGAGCTCAAATTTGGCTCGGCTCAAAAGCTCACAAGTTCCATCTCCTATTCCATGTTGAAACCATACCATGAAAATGGGAAATGAAAGTAGGAAGGTAAAGTAAGAAATTCTTTGGGGAACCATGACCATTGTGGCTGGGCATTGGTTCCTCAGCTTTTTTTTCTCTTAATTTCTCCCATTTTCCATAAGACCAAATTCAGTCTTTCTTTTTTAGTTCTATCATCATTTCCTTTCTATTTACTTTTTCCATCACTCTTTGCTTCTGTTTCCTTTTTTTTCCTTTAGGCTTTGTTTGGGAAGAGGGTAAACGCCGGTTTGATGCATTTATGCAATCTGGTTCAGTTTTTCTGGTGTTTGATAAGAGTACATTTGTGTATTGGAAATGACAGTTATCTCACACTTGGAATTCATGTTTATACCCATAACAACCAAAAACCATTAGGCAAGGAAACAAAATTTATCAATGCAAAACTAAACCAACTTTGTGTTTTCATGAACCAGCATGTTTGTATTTTCACTCTTCCCAAATGGAGCCTCCCCCTTCCCCCAATTCAGGCTCTTTCTTGTGCATTTTTTTATCAATAACTGGAAATTTCATTGATTAAATAAAAGGAATTACATCAGATGAAAAAAGGAGAGATAACCTCTGACATAGTTGTCAAGGTGTCACCTAGGTGACTAGGCGCCCTCGGCTGGGCGCCTCACCCAAACGCCTTGACTTTTAGTTACTAGGCGCCTTCTAGGTGACTATGCGCCCACCTAGGCAACAAAAATACAAGGTGGGTGCCTTTTATAATATCATTTATATTGCTGTATCTTATTAATGTATGTGTTAAAAGATTTTATTAAATGCTATATATATATATATATATCAATTATACTATGTTTTAATGTTTTACTATTGAAACTTAAAAGATCAAAGGGTTAAGAAGAGAAAGAAAAAAAGAAAGAGGAAAGAAAGAATAGAATTATAAAGAGGTTCTTTTTTTATTCTCTCTCTCTCTCTCTCTCTAATTAAATAAAACAGAAACTCCATCCTTGTTTTTTCTATTTTGCTTTCCATCTTGAATATTTATCATATAAAGTTAATAACCTGTTTTAGATACTAATTGATATGAAATTGTTCTGTTAAATACTTATTATAGTAGTATTACTTTTGAAAATAATGAATTTAACATATGTAAAAGATTTTATCTTTTCCATCAAAAACCGCCATAACCATTTTCCCAATTTCCAATCCTCCTAATTTTTTTCTCTTGTTGACATGTTCCCAACTAACTTTGTGACCCTTTCCCCCCTCACCTGGATCCCACAAAAAAGCTCTCATCATTTTCTCCAATTTCCTAATCACACTTCATAGGGACCTAAAGACCAGTGGATTAAACTGTTAGCAAGGGTAGCTCTGATTAGAGTGATACTTCCACCAAGGAAATGTAGTTCTTCCAGCTAGCAAGTTTCTTAGTAAAACTCTCCACCACTGGGTCCCAAAAGCTAACACCTAGGGTTATGGCCTAGAGGTAGACAAAGGTATTTAATTGGCTACTGTGCCATCTCAAACGCCATCATATTTGTAAATTCCCCTTCGCTCTTAGTCAGATTCATTCCTAGTGCTTTAGATCCATCTCAAACGCCATCATTTCAGAAAGTCCCAACAGCCCTGGTAAAAAGCCATAGTAAATCCATCTGGCCCTAGTGCTTTAGATCCATCCATGGAGAATATTGCTTTCCTAATTTCCTCCAACTCAACTTTTCTTTCCAGCCAATCTTTTGAACCCTCTGATAATCTAGGCCAATCTAACCCTTCCAACCAGATTCTGTCATCAACCAGCCTCCTAAATATAGATCTGAAATGCTATGAAAAGGCATGTGAGATTTCATCTCGTTGAGTGAGAGCCACACCTACTTCTAATTTTGAAATAAAACTCTTCCTTTTCCTCTCACTAACCAGCCTCCTAAACAAATATACCTTGATTTTTGTTTCCAGCTTATCTCTTCCTTAATTAAGATGTCTTCCAACTGTGTCCTTGGGGATCTCCTTTCCAATCTATCATTCTCCTCAAAAATACCTCAATTTTCCTTGAGGTCCAACTCTTCAACCTTGTCTTTGACCTCCTATTTTCTCACCTCTAATCTCCTAAAGTGATCAATATTCCACTCTTTGATTTTCTTTCAGCACTTTCAATCTCCTAATAAAAACTCATACCCTTCCATTTGGCCCTCGAAGCACAACTAACCCACCAATCCCTGACTTTGTCAATAAAACCTGGGTGGGATAGCCACATGTTTTCAAACCTAAACAGTGAGAGCCCCCTTCCACTCAACTCTGAAATGGAAATCGGCCATGGTCAGAGGTTATCTCAGTAAATCTTCCATGACTAGTCCACCCCAATGCTCCTCCTAATGCGTAGAAAATAGGAATCGATCTAGTTTAGAGCACATAGGATTTGCTTAGGTACCGATCTAGTTTAGAGCACATAGGAATTTAGACCAAGTGAATCTGTCATGCGAGAGGAAGTTCTTTTAGCCCAAAATTAGCAATTAGCTTGTTAAATTTCCTCATACTCAAGGTGTTATTCTATCTAGGATTATTGGATTCGTCAATAAATTTGATTACATTGAAATCGCCTCCTAAGCACCACGGGCCCTCTCACAAGCCTCTTATATATCACTCAATTCTTCCCAAAATTCATTTCTTTTCTCGTAGCCATTCGGACCATAAATGTTTGTTAGAACCCACTCAAATCCATCTTCAAGAGACCTGAACTTAACAGATAATGTGAATTTGCCTAATAACTTGATTCCTTCCACTAAATCATTCCTCCAGACAGTAACTAGACCCCCTGAAGCACCCCAAGAAGGTGACCATGCCCAACTAATCCTTATGGCTCTCCACACACTTCTATCCCACCTGACATCAAAATTTGTAAGCTTGGATTCTTGAATAACCACCATGTCCGGATTCTCCTTCTTAAACAATTCCTTTATTAAAGCTCTTTTCCTAGCATTACCCAAACCCCTCGTATTCCAACTCACTAATTTCATTCTGAATGCTTGTATGAGACCTGCACAAAAATCCTTTATTTGCCTCCCCTTCTTTCCCTTCTCTCACTGAATTCCTCATCTCCTTGCAGATCTCTTTTTAATCTTTCAACCTCTTTCAGTTTCCTTTTCTAAATTTACCTTCTTGTGCAGCTTTCCTTTTTCTGCTTGTTTCTTGAATTGTTAACCTAGTTAGATGTTGTCTTTATACAACATTTTAAAAGTCATTTCATCAAAATGGTGTATTTCCACATTGTCTTTAAAGTCATTTCTCAACCTTTCACTTCTTTGTAGTGATTTGGGCAGTGAAAAGACAATCTTCCTACCGTGGGGATAGCTTTACTGCAACTGTGATTAAAACTAGAGATATTAGTCATTATTTATCGCATTCTTGTGTGTAATACAATTTATTTTGGTGATTCTGCTGAACAGCATGCTACCCCATGATTGTTTTGACTTAATTATTGAATGTACTGTTAACACATTTTCCATTCCAACAGAATGCAGGTTCAACAAGTCATAATCACCAAGACTCAGATAACCAGTCCACAGGAGCATCTAGGAGCCGAAATGCATCATCACCATTCACATCAATACCTTTCAATGCAGCTGGCCTTCCCACAGATTTTGCAAACGTTCTCATGAATATGGCTACAACTGCATATCAGCAGGGCCGGCAGACCCAAGACAGATCACATGATGGAAACAACACAGATGGGTCTCATGAGCCTGAAATAAGAATAGGTGGTAACATAAGCATGAATTTCGGAGATGAAGTACCGGTGGACCTAACAGGTGCTTGGAGATCTGTGATGGAGATGTTCTCAGGGGCATCACCCCATGATCATCCTCAGGGAAATATGAATAGTGGACCAGCACCAAATTAATACAATGGATACTGATACACTGTACAAAAGAATAGATTGTACTATACTTGCATTGTTCATTTTCCCTCCCTAAATGGATATGAATCAAATTCTCTAATCAATGAAGACGGGCTGAAACATTAGGTTAGCTCTTCACTAGTAATTATGTTCGTCTTTCTGTTCCTAGTTGGGCTACTAAGCCATGACTAGCGAGGAGAGAGAGAAAGAGAGAGAGAGAGAGAGAGAGAGATTTTGAACTTGCATCAAGGACCCCTAGGATAATCCATCCACCCAATATCAACTATAATGTTTTTTTGGTCTCTTTGAGCCACCAGTCAACATTTCCATTATATGACCTGTTTAGAGGTTGTTCACCAATGAATTTTTTTTCTCGTTGCAAGTTTCAGAAAACAAAACAAAACCAGCTGGTTTGAAGACAAATTGGTTCTTAAGCAAAAACACAGAAAACATGTTCCTGGTTAAGGGTTATGAGTGTTTGTTTTTCTTTTTTTCCAAAACTGAAACCAAAAGCGCGTTCATGAATTTCTGGTTCAAAGAACCTGTTTTCATCTGTCTATTCTTTTTTTTAGGTCCTTATCTGGTTATTTGATATCATGTTCCACTAACCATATGATTTTTATACTACACAATTTCTTCTTGTTTCAAAAACCATTATTTTGATGGTTTTAAAATCAGACATCCTTTAAAGGAGAATGTGCAGTACTTGGGGGCCATTTGATAACAGTTGAAGATGCTGAACTGAAAAGCTTATCACTGTCTTTTAGTGGATAAGATTTTAAGGAGGCTCTGGCTCAACAGCTAAAACTGAAGTTGGGTAGACTATTATATCCTTGAATTTTTTATTATTTAATTATTTTAATAACTACAAGACAAAGCAATAAGTCTTTCAGTTCAGAAACTTCAGCTGTTATCAAACAGTCCATTAGGGTTTGGGTTTTAAAGGATTTAAATAGTTATTATTATCTTTTTCTTTTTTTGAAGTCAATAGTTATTATTATCTTAGTGTACCTATCTGCAAACTATCAGAAATAAAAACTTAAAAAAGTTGAAGCGAAAAAAAAAAAAAAAGAAGTGTATCGAACTATTGATTAGATTAGATGTTTGAAACTCAATTTTTGAGCACTTTCAAAAAACAAAAAAACCCTCACTTTTTTAGTATATATTGTCCATACTTTGAACCTAACCTTGCTTCCAAAGGGGCCTACGTGAAAACCCTCCCAAAAGCACAAAGATTTTTTCCCTAGTTGGTGTTACCGTTCAAATTAAGCATATGTTTGTTTCTGTGGGAGTTTTCGTAAGAGATGTTTTTTTAGATAAACGTTTATCTGAAAAACACTACTTTAAATGTTTTTTGCTTTTTCTATTTGGTTGGACGTTTTATGGGTGTTTCAAGTAACACCCCATAAAGTTACTTTCCGTCTTAGATAAAGTGTGCCACAACAGTATTTCATTTCAAGAATTGCCCAGACATTGGGGTAAACATGAATTTGACGTTTTCCCAAATGCCCCATGCACATAAATCAAAGCGTTTCAGTTTTCTAATGTTTATTTGATAAACGGTGAAACCAAAAAATGGTTTCATATACTATAAACACCAATGCCTATGTGGTGCTAATGTGGTGGCATTTTTTCAATAAACGCCCACAGAATCAAACATATACTAAAGATGTTTATTTATTAGTAAACTTTGATGTCAGTCATCAATTTTGTTGATGGAAACCTTGGCCAAGACAGAAAAGAGGGATTTTTGGTGTCACTTTGGTGATTGCAAACTTGTATGTTGGTGTAGATTTTTTCCTCACTTGGGTTATGATGAATGAATTAAATTTTTTGTCTGTAGATCCGCCACATTGAATCAAAACCATTTAACTGTTAAAAATCCCATTGGCTGTGACTTTTTTTTCCCTTTTTTAGGGTTGGGATTATTTTATCAATTGTTTCCTAAATGGGTAATGGATTGCATTGCAAGAACTATATTCAGGTTAGGGTTCAAATTTCAAATATTCAATGAGCCTTTCATGCTCGTTTGGGAGGGTTGAAGTGCAACAACTTTTGGCTTTCTAGGGTAGGCCCTACATGAACAATCTATAAGCCATGTTTGGTGAAAAACCTAGAGAGCCTAAATCAACTGTCCAACAGTTATTTGAAAGGCTATCCACTTTGGCCTCCTTAAGTAGCTTATTTGGAGTAGTTGTCAACTAGTATTGTAAGTCTAGGATTTGTATGAGAAAGGAAGAAAGAAAGAGAGAAAGGAGAAGAAGAGAGGAATGTGTCGAGTGGTGTGTTCTTGTTACTGTTCACACCCTCAAAAGGCATTTTATGTTTCGAAACAAGAAATTACAAAGAGGTCCCTACTTGGGTGCCCAAATACAAAAAGAGTACAAAGGGAAGAGGTAAAGACTAAAAACACCCTTGCCTAAACTTTCTCAACACTCCCCCTCAAACTGAGCATATATGTCAGTCATGCCCAGTTTAGCAAGGTTCTTAGCAAACTTTCGGTGGTAAACACCTTTAATGAGGCAATCAGCTAGTTGGTCTTCCGATCTTACAAAAAGAAGGCAAATCTCTCCACTAGCAATTTTTTCTCTAATAAAGTGTCTGTCCACCTCAATATGCTTTGTACGATCATGTTGAACAGGATTGTGGGCAATGTTTATGGTTGTTTGATTGTTACAATATAGTCTCATTGGGATATTCGCTTGGATGCCCATCTCAGCCAATAAGGTCTTCAACCATAGTAGTTTAGACACTCCATTAGCCATTGCCTTGTATTTTGTCTCAGCACTAGAACGAGGAACCACAGATTGTTTCTTACTTCTCCATGAAACCACATTGCCTCCGACTAATGCACAATAACTAGATGCCCATCTCAGCCAATAAGGTCTTCAACTAGAGTAGTTCAAACACTCCATGAGCCATTACCCTACAACCACAGATTGTTTCTTACTTATCCATAAAACCACATTGCCTCCGACTAATGCACAATAACCAAATGTTGATCTTCTATCAGCAATGGACCCTGCCCAATCTGCATCTGTGTAAGCCTCAATCTTTAGATGGTTATGGTTAGAATAGAACATCCCTTTACTAGGGCATCCTTTCAAATAGGCTAGGTTCATGCATATGAGAGGTCTAGGTTCATGCATCTGGTTATTAACTACCTGCATATGAGAGGTCTAGGTTCATGCATATATTGACTAACCACTCCAACAGCGTAGGATATGTTAGGTCTAGTCAAATAGAGATACAAAAGGTGGCCTACCAATCTCTGATATACCCCTTTGTCTAGAAGAGCTTCTCCTTTAGTAGCACTCAACTTGTGGTTGGGATCAATTGGAGTTTCTATAGGTTTACACCCTAATTTCCCAACTTCATGAAGCAAGTCAAGTATATATTTCCTTTGTGACAGAAAAATTCCCTTCTTTGATCTTGCAACTTCAATGCCAAGAAAGTATCAGAGATCACCAAGGTCTTTAATCTCAAATTCGGAAGCAATGAAGGACTTTAACTAGGAGATACTTGTAATATCATCACCTGTCACAACAATGTCATCAACATACACTATCAACATTGTTACTCTTCCATCAACTCTTCTAATGAATAAAGTGTGGTATACTTGAGATTGAGAAAACCCAATCTTTAAGATAACATTTTTGAACTTGTCAAACCAAACTCTAGTATATTGCTTGAGCCCATACAAGGACTTTTTTAAGTGAAACTTTTCCGTGACTATTAGGAAAGCTCACCCTAGGTGGTAAGTCCATATACACTTCTTCATGTAAGTTCCCATTGAGGAAGGCATTTTCACATCCATTTTATATAAAGACCAAGAGTAATGGGCAACAAGAGAAATGATCACATGAATAGAGTTCATTTTAGCAACTAGAACAAAGGTTTCCAGATAATTAATGCCATAAGTATATGTATATCCTTTAGCTACAAGTCGAGCTTTGTACCTCTCGATTGAGCCATCCGCCTTGTGCTTAACAATGTAGACCCACTTACACCCAACAGGAGTCTTATCCTTAGGACAAGGAACAACCTCCCAAGTCTAGTTCTTTATCATGGCCTCCATCTCTTAGTTCATAACTTCCTTCTAATGAGGGGATTGCATTGCCTTTGTAACACTATAAGGGATGGAAACAGAAGAAATGGTAAAAATATGGGCACAATAGGAAGGTGAGAGAGCATCATAAGACACGTAGTTAGTAATAGGATACTTACTGCATGCCCTCTTCCCTTTTCGAATGGCAATAGGAAGATGAAGGTTAGGATTAGTAATATAATTATCAAGAGGTTCAAGATTACTTGAGTCTGGGAGATCATATTGTGATGGGCATTCTACTTTAAAAGCTACCCTCTTACTGTGTCTGATGAAAAACTACTGCTAGGACTGAGGCCAATACATAAGAGGAGGAGGAGGAGAAGGAATACCATCGTTACAAGGAAGAGAGGGAGGAGGAGGAACAGAAGAGACAGGGATAGGAAGGCAAAAGGGAATCCAATCTTCACTTGCATTCTCCCCTTGAAGAGAAAGACGGGATGACTAGAAAAAGGAGGACTCCAAAAAGGTAACATCCTTAGAGACATATCTCTTGCCAGAGAGAGCATCAAAGCATCTATAGCCTTTCTGGATAGGAGGGTAACCAAATAAGACACATTTAATTGACTTAGGGTCAAACTTATGCTGGGAATGACTCATATTATGAACAAAACAAACACAACCAAAGATTTTAAGGGGGAGATTGAAAAGAAGTTCATCAAGAAAGAGAAGTTGATGAGGAGACTGAAGATTAAGGGTCCTTGAAGGAAGTTTGTTGATGAGATACACAGATGTCTCAATAGCATCACCCCAGAAACAGGTGGGACCATGAGTCTGAAATAGTAAACCTCAAGCAACTTCAACCACATGCCTATTCTTCCTTTCAGCTACCCCAATCTTCAAGAAATCTATGCAAATGATGTTCAAAGTATTACTTGACATTGTCAGATCTTATTATCTTAACTCTTTTCTCAAACTGTTTCTACCATATTCATGAAATTTTGAACCACCATAGGAACTTTATCTCAACTTTTCATCAAGTAGAGCCATGTATACCGACTGTAGTCATCAATGAAGAGGATGAAGTATTTATACCCACCCATGCAAAGGATAGCATATGGGCCCCAAACATCAGTATGAATCAAATGAAAAGCAACATTACTTCTTTTACTACTTGCAAAGTATGTGGTTCAACTATGACATTGAGTCAAATAAGTTTGGAAACAAAAGTTTTACAAAATTGAAAGACATATGACCAAGACAACAATGCCATAATTTCAAAAGACTCATTTTCTCATAACAAGACTCAGTTTGGCTTGATAATCCATGCTTTTAAGGTCCATCAAAGAGGTAGACTCCATCAGCTTCATGCCCACTTCCAATCAGCTTCCTCGTTCTCAGGTCCTAAAAAACACAATGGGTAGGAAAAAAGGTCATTGAGAAATTATGGGATTTTGTAAGAGAACTAACAAACAACAAACTTTTATGTAATTGGGGCACATGAAGAACCGATTCAAGAGAAAGGTTATGAGTGAGTTTGACTTCACCCTGACCCGAAATAGGGGTCTGAAATCCATCAGTAACAGTAAACTTGCCCTTCCTTGGGGTTAACTTATATGAGGTAAAATGTGAAGTGAAGGCATACCAGTCATATGGGTAGTGACCTAGGAGTCTACAATCCAAGGACTAAAAGATGTGGAACAAGCAAGTGCAGTACCTATCTTGGCATATGAACTAGATGGATTACTAAGTCTATAACCAAATGAAGAGAATGTACCACCATTTTCCAACTACAGCAGTATATTCTTGAGTTTGTCCATTATATCAGAGGAGTCATGAACATTATAAGGTTGAGCATCATTACCAACTGTAGCCAAGTGAGCATTTCCCTTCCTCYYRRTTTTGTAYWTTTYTGGYTTTAAGTGAGGATTGAGCTTCCAACACTTTTCCTTAGTATGTCTTGGCTTCTTGCAATAATCACAAACCGCATCCTTAGCCTTCTCAATAACATGGTGCTTACTAGTATTTTGCTTGGATCAAAATGACATAAAGGCAGATTGATCAATCATAGGAGGTTGCATCATAGCTGTCCTTCTACTTTCTTCCCATTGTACAAGGGAGTACGTGGAAGTAAGAGTGACAATGTCGGAACTAAGAATATGTTGCCTAGTAAAATCAAACTCTGGATTCAAGCCAGCCAAGAAATCAAACTCTATTATTCTCTATATACTTTCGATATTGCTCAACATCTTCAGGGTCTTTCCATACAAGAGTCTTCAGGTGATCCATTTCTTCCCAGATAGACTGTAAAGAAGAGAAATACATAGCCACAGATCTCTCTCCCTGACGCATACTGCAAGTTTCCCTTCAAAGCTAGTATACTCTAACAGTATTGTTAATTTGGGAATAAGTGGCAACAACTCTATCCTAAATATCTTTGGCCGTTGGAAGAAACATGTAGTTTTGGGCAATATGAGCTTGCATTGAGCAAATCAACCATGACATTACAAGGGAGTTATCCTGTTCCCACTTTGCATATTTTGGATCTTCTAGATTTGGCTTCACCTCCTTTCTTGTGATGAATCCCAGTTTGCCTCTCCTAGTGATGGTAAGTTTAGAAAATTGGAACCACTCTAAAAAGTTGGTTCCATCAAGTTTAACAGTAGTTATCATACCACTAGAAATGTTTGTACTTCTCGGGAACACACTACAAAACCATCTATACATCCTTAGATGATTCCATAATCTATCAAAACACTTTCACGTCAACCAAAAAGGGCCCTAAAAACTTAACCACAGCTAAGGACCCAAGAAACTAGGGCACCACACGGTTAAGAAGCATAAAAAAAAGAACAACAAACTAAGTTGGCGCCAAAATAAAGGGAGAAATAAATCTCCCAAAAATTTTCTAGGGCTTAGAAAAATTCAGGACCACTTCTCGTTGCTCCCAAGGTAAAAAATGACCTGAATGGTCTAGGTTTTGCAGTAGAAAAACTGATTAAACAAAGTGTATAAGGCTCGACATCAGATCTGGATTTTTTGCGATTTTCTGTTTGAAAAATCTATTAAAAATCATAGAAGCTTCGAACAAAGACGAGCCATACCAAAAATCTTTTAAAATCAGGTTGAATCAAACCATATATGATTCATGTATTGTTGCTAACACCTGTACAGATTGCTGACATCATCTGACAGTGGTCTTACATCAGCAGTTCATCTTGTGCAAGAGAGTCAACAAGAAAGGTATTCCCAAGTGCCTTAGCATTGCTCTGATACCAAGTTGTCAACTGGTATTGTAAATCTAGAGTTTGTATGAGAAAGGAAGAAAGATAGAGAGAAAGGAGAAGAAGAGAGGAATGTGTCGAGTGGTGTGTTCTTGTTACTGTTCACACCCTTAAAAGGCATTTTATATTTTGAAATAAGAAATTACAAAGAGGTCCCTACATGGGTGCCCAAATACAAAAAGAGTACAAAGGAAAGAGGTAAAGACTAAAAACACCCTTGCCTAAACTTTCTCAACAGGAGTGATTCAAAATAGCTAAACCAGCTTAGCCCTGTGAAACGGGCACTTCATTTGGACTGCTTATGTTTTAGCGGAAATTTCCATTAGTCTCAGTTTGGAAGGTATACAAATACAAATATATTGGGTGTAAAACCTTGTATTTTGTTTTATTTTGTATGTTTTTTTGTACCATACATATTTGTATTTATACACTTTCCAAACTAAGCCTTAGAGGGTCTCATTAGTGGATATAGAGATCTCATTACTCTTTGTCCAACTAACCTCATTATTTGACAAAGTTTTGCCCTTGAACGTGCCTTTCATTTTGAACTCTTCATCAAGGATGACTTCAGAATAACTATTTCTATTGATGACCATAATTGTCTGTTATAGGTTTTCATCCTGAACATTTGGACCATATTTTGCTAGAGTATGCTGGTTTAGCTCTGGCTTTGATAATACGATGTAGGATTGGTTGGGAAATGTTGTCAAACAATAGACCTTGCATGGGTGGACTGCAGTATAAAGTAAAAAATAAATTGAAAAAAAAAATGGTTTGTTAGTTAGAAGTTTGGATTTAGGTGTAGATGATTAATGAAAGTGTTATGGGTGATAATTTAGAGTTATATGTTTAAGAATGGTTTTCTTTTCTTTTTTTTTTATTTTTTGATATCTTTTGAATGGGCTACAAAACAGGGTGTAGCCCATCCCCCAACCAATAACCCCCCTAACCCAGGTGCAGGCGGGATTCGATCCCAAGTCTCTGCTACCACCGGAAGGAGACCTTTCGAACCAGCTAGTTTAAGAATGGGTTTGTGTGATAAAGAAAGTGATTTTTTGCTAGAGAAATAAGAATTTTTTAAAAATGGTTTAGAAAGAATACTGAATAGATGAACATTAACGCTGTGTTTGGTTTGAAAGAAAAGGTAGGGAAAGGTATGGAAACACTTTTACCCGATGCCAATCCTCCCTTCATCTCTGTTCATGCTCCCTCCTTCAATGGCTGAAGCTTCAAACTTTGGTGGGG